ATGTAAATCTACGATGAATACTAACTTGAAATATTTCTAAATCCCCACAACCTTCTCGAAATTTTTGATCAAGTGGTTAAAACCATATTGAGCTGATTTTTTTATGAGAATGATATGGACCAACTGATACGGTATTCAGAAGTACTTCATTAAATTTTGGGGCTATGTATGTTTTTTTTTCACTGTGAACTATTTTCAAGTGTTCATGAACACAGTGACTTTAGTATTCATATCTTTAATGACGGTGTTCATATCATAGTATTAAGTTTATAATGGAATGTGAAAAGAAACTGAATTTGTTGACTTATGCTTGAGACGTAATGATGACGGTACAGGAGATAGGAGAATTCACTGAAAAACAACAACATACAAAAGTCAGTATTCAAAGTTCAACAGTTTCTGAAAAATCAGCTACGAGAGAGGTTTAGTGTGGATGTTATAACAGAGGGTAGAGAGATTACGTTGCCAAAAAAAATGCCTAAGAACCATTTTTACTAATCGAACAATATCTACACAGTAATGGTTATGTAATGAAGTTTGTTTACTTGTGTAAAACTCCAAACAACTAAAAGTTCCCATAACACTGATAAAAAAACAACAGTCTGAATAAGGAATATTCTTTTCAATAAATTCTCTTCAGGTTGTACATATCCTATAAAATCCGTTTGCACAACATGAAATCAACCCAAATTTGGAGCATATACATCTTCAAAATGGAGTGAGATTTAGAGTTTGTAAGAAAACCGAATTTCTTTTCTTAAAATCTTCATTATTGAAATGATGCATATACAAATGAATGATACGATGATGATGAACAAAACGATAACGAATAAGATGGCCGGAGTAGCCTTTAGTTTGTTGAAGGCTAAGACAGAAGTAACGCTTGGAACTATTTTTTTCCGAATGGAGAGTTCAGGTTTGATGAGTCGTATTGTAACAACCTCTACTATGTTGAGCAGGCGTTGGGGAGCTACATGCGGTATCGTTTTCGGAATACGATGAATGATACTGAAAGCCTTATTAGAATCCACGTGATGTCCTGAGCTTACAAGGTGCTCAAGAACTGAAGTTGTCACCACTTTCACTTCGCCCTTACCTAGCCAACCTGTTAAATACTATCGTATCCGGAGACTCACCTGCCTAATCGTACGCCCTATGTAACTAGTTTCACAGGAACAGTAGGTTATTCTTTAGTTTCAGACTCAACATTGGCCGGCTACTAAATGATAAACAGAAACGAACTGCGTAAAACATATTATTGACTACTCTAGCCAAGCATCGTGGTAAAGAGTCACTTGTAGCATCTCCGTAGAAATGCTAGCTCAGAAACAAAGATTTTTTCTCTACTGGCACAAGTTTTTGTTTAGGACCAGTGTAACTGATTTTAGCTTTGATGAACTTATCTACATATCGGTTTTCACTTAGAATATCACGAATACACAGTAGTTCTTTTTTCACATACTCTTTGGAACGAATCGATCATACTCTAATATATCAGGTATGTGACTGTATAACTTTTGTACTTCATCTGTACAAAGCTGAGAAAGTGTGTATACTGTGCCCTAGATGTCGGTTTTTCATATATACTTCTCAGTATGGACCCATCTTCTTTCCTTGTCATTAGCACGTCAAGAAAATGTAAAAAAACATTGATTTCGTTGAAATATGTAAAACAAACTGATGCGCGAATGCCGTTGAAATGGTTTAGAATAGAACTAATATATACATACACCTACCAAAGACTGAAAACGTAGCATCTATGTATCGACAGTACAACTCCATATTGGCAATGTGATATCTTAAGCGACAATCTTCCAATTTCGCTAGAAATATGTCTGTAAATATTGGGTCCAATGGAGATTCCATAACCACTCCATCAACTTATCTGTACAGATTACTATAAGTGTAAAACTTGGTCAGTGTGGTAGAAATTAATTCCATATTAGAATTGTTTATTTGATTTATAACACACAGTGAATCATACAGTATTATTTACTTGATGACAACTCGAGCATTAATTATGATTGCTCATAATCATATCAATGTAATCACACTACTTTCGAACGTGATAGAGCTAGAAAACTGACTAGTCAGAGCAAGAACCTAAACAAAGAATCGTTAATAGTTAATAATTATCCTGTACAGTTTATTAAGAAAGTCTTACGGACACACAAAAAACAGAATAATAACAGTCACATGGGTTCGACTAATAACGACAATATGAGAAAAAAGGAGTTCACAACCTCCATTGTATTACCCTATAAGAAGGATACCTCAGAAACTTTACGTAGAATCCTTAACAGAGCTGGAATTAAGGTAACATTTGAACCTACAAACTCACTCAGAGATAAACTTTGTCTGCCTAAGGATCCGATAGAACCAATTAAGCAAAATAATATAATCTAATAAATACTATGTAATGACTGTGAGTCAGGTCAAGTATATAGGTCAAACTAGTCGGTCGGGGTCAGTTAGAATAGTCGAATTTAGCTAAATATAGAATGACAGACCTGAATAAGATCAATAATCTAGAAAAAACTCGGCTATTGCTATGCCTGCATTAACACACAACCACACAATAGAGTGGGTGGGATAAAGCCACTGTACTTAGGTCCAATATAATTGGGTGGAAAGAGAGGAAGAGATTGATTGCTGAATCTTTGTTCATCGAGTCAACATCTGACCAACACATGTAATAGACATGACGTAACACCAATACCAGAGATATGGAGAATTTTGCCATCAATAAAAACAACTCATATAAAGTGAGGTAACTATAAAAATCAAATGTTGAAAGTAGTGCCTGATTACGTTGATATGATTATGAGCAATGATAATTTATGCTCGAAACGTCATCAAGTAAATAATACTAGATGACTGTGTGTTATAAATGAAATAAACAAATTTGATATGTACAGATTATTGTTGAAGATGAACTGGATATTCATTCTACTTTTCAGGAGTAGTTTCTTCAAATTCGTAATAAGTATGCCAATCTCTAATTTACCTCCCAATAATTATTCACAAATATAATCCAAGGTTTTCATTAGAGGGGGGGGGGGGGTACATACAGTCACAAATAACATATCCAAGCCTTCAGTAAACTAAAATTCACTCCTGCTTTATTTATTTGTTCACTATTACATCATTCATTTGTATATGTATCATTCAAATATCGATAAGTTAAAGAAAGAAAAAATCGATTTCCTTACAATCCCTAAATATTACTCCATTTTGAAGATGGATTTGCTCCAAAGTTGGCTTGATTTTACGCCTTACAAATTGATTTTAAAGAACGTATAGAACCTGAAGAGTATACTAATTGAAAAGAATATTCTTCGTTCAAATGTTTTCGTACAGAAGTACTTTAAAAGCAAGAAAGGTGAGCAGGATATTGTACTGTTGAAAAGTAACCAAAGTTTCTAACCTTGTGTTTCAAGGGAGATGATATTGCGACAAGAATTAACAGATGAACTAGGAGTGCACTCTCCAGGATGCATCCTACTCCGAGAACTGTCTCAATGTACCAAAAAACATGTGCATTATTATTTTTCCCTTGAGTTCTCAGTGGAATATACGGCTTGAGTGACCCGCCTCCATTGCACTCTGTTCTCTACAGTCTTTTATTTCAACCTGGCGCCACGACTACCCACAAGCTTTCATTTTTTCCTTACATCATCTCCTTCATGTCACCCTCAACTCGGACGCCCAACTCGTTATTTTTCTTTTGGATTCCACTCGATGGCTTGGTGTGTTATGTCCCCAAATGGTCTTCTAAGTGTATGCCCAATCCATCTCCACTTCCTTCTGCATATTTGTTGGCGGATAGGTTCTCAGTTTTATTCTTATTATTCAGGCCATCTGAGCTTCAGTAATGAGCCAGCGTAGGCAGTTGTTGATGAATGTCTGTAGTTTGTTGGAAATGCTTTTCGTGACACGCCAACTGTCTGAACCATATAGCAGCTCTGACTTGACTGACTTACTGCTGAGAATCCGGATCTTAATCTCTGTGCTGAGTGCAGTAGATCTACACACTGATTTCAGATTAATGAAGACCTGTCTTGCTTCCGTGATCCTGGTTTTGACATCCTCGTCTGTGCCTGTGCCTGTGGCGCCTGTAGTTGAAACGATGCTGCTTAGGTAGGTGGGAGGGACTACTTCTTTTAGGTTTGTCCCATTGGTGATGGTGATTAATGCCCGTTGTTGTTCATGCTGTGGTTGGTTGGGTATCTTCATCACCTGCATCTTCTCCATATTCACTTGAAGTCCCGTCTTCGCTGCCATGCCTCGCCTCTTCTGTCAACTAGTTAGTTTTCGCCTATAGATCTTCGAGTTTGTGCGACATTAAAGAACATGTGCGTTACACAATCCAAACTAGAAAAAGTTTCAAATATTGTTAACTCGAAATGTATTTATCAGTTCACGTTTACTTGTGGTGGCGAGTACTTATGAAGGATAGAGAGGTGGTTATGTATCAGGGTTGCCTCGTATATACCAAAAAGGTCTACGTTTTAGTGGTCTATCCTAATTCGGCAGCGCAGTAGCTAGTCACTTATATGGTGCAGAATATCAAGTAGATAAGAAGAAATCCTTGATCGTATTCAACTGACAAGACTTCTTGCCTACTTTCAATTGCCAAAGCCGTCACCATCCGACTAATACAACTAAAACTGTGCGTTCAAAAGAAAACAGGTACCCATTTCAATATTTCTCTGGTAATTAGCGACTTCTCATCCTCTCATCTTCCCCAAAATATTTCTAAGAAGAAATTCTATGGGACTGAAAAAAGAAGGTAAAAAAGAGTCTGAACCGTAGGTAGATTGAAACTGGCTTCAAATCTATCTGAGTTATCGTTGATCACATTATCTAACTATCACATGAATGAAACTTCAGCTTATCTATATGCATCTCTTCATACTAATTTGTTAACTAATTTCTTCTAAGCTCTGTTTAATAAAATACTGAATGCCTTTTAATTCAATTTTATTTATCAAACTTACTTTTCTCCAGCATAATACAAGTCTTCAACATCTTTTTCCACTTGATTTCGATTAACTAGTCGTGATGTATTTCTTGTTCTTAATGCTTCTTCAACTAATTCTGGGGGATCTTCATCACGGTTACCTTGTAACAATGCTACTAATAATTGTTCATATGGTGGTTTTGTCTCTTTCAGTATATCACCTTCAAGTGAACGATGATCAGCTTCTGTAAAAGTAGTAGTAAAACAATTTGAATATTCAATGTTACAATTCTGCAAAAACACTTTTATTGTGAAATCTGTTGCATAACAGCTGAAAATTTAACATCTTAAGGCAGTATTCAGCTTAGCAATGAACTCCCCAGCAGCGTGAGTCTATAACCTTACCAGGGATCGAATTGAGGACTTTCAGGTCTTTTGGCGAGCGCCCTACCACTCAGTCACTGGACTAGAATTTAATTGTCCATGGCTGTTTACTTCTGTCGATCAGTGACAAAGCCCGACTGTAATCCAAGGTCGCCAGTTGGCACATGTGAAAGTGAACTGATGAACGCTTCTTTTTATGTATAAAAGCTTCTAAAGGACATCTACTTAAGGCTGATCATAGATCGCCGTTTTACAACTTTGAGGTTGTTCTCTGTTTTTCTTGAATCTAGATATGGACCTATGTTGCCGGTCCTGGTGTGAAGTAGAATACAAGGATGTTTGCTATTTTTAGGGCTGACCTTTTCTAGCTCTTTCCTTCTCACCGGGAAGTCAGCATCATTATGGTACTGTTACTCATCCAAGGGGAACATTTTACTGCTGAGACACTCTGTCAAGCTAGTAGTACGACTTCGCTCTCAGATCCTTATCATAGCGTATCTGTCTACACTCCAAAAACGACTGATTTTTGTCTTACCGCTATCGAATTGACTTTTCTTGGAACAAGCGTTCCTGTCAGTTTACCTCATTAGGTCATTGTGATATGGAAGTCCAACGTCTACTTCAAGATAGCAGGTATCAACCACAGAATTTGTGCTTAGTTAATAGGCAGGTGAAGTGTAGGCACTTTTCAATACTTGCAGGTCATATTTGACACTAAAATGTTTGATTTCTTGATGTTGATTAGTGCGAACAAAATTGGTTGTCTTACGGGTTTCCATGGATTTGCCTCTTTATAGCCATTGATTTCATGCTTAAGACGAATAGGATGTTTATGATCACTCTTTTCAACTGGTGACACTATTACTTCTACTTGGCTGCGCTGTAATTTTGAAAAAAGTTTCATATGCATATTGGCAAACATTTTAACCTGGTTAAAAGTTAATGGTTGGATATAAAATGGATATATTAATAACTAGCAAACAGACGAAGTTCTCTGGGATAGCAAGAGCTAGGATTTCTAGGTGGACAGTTTGCATTCTGATGGCAGCTATATAATGTTAAAAGAAAATAATCCTCCAGATAAATTCAGCATAACGTCATTCTGAGATTTCAGAATTACTTAATTGTTACCATTTTTTGACAAGTTCCTTTTGCTACATACCCTGGTTTTGGATAGCTTTCGCCTATTGTTTGACCATGACTCTGAAGTAACCTACATGGCTGTTTTCATATCGTTAATGGTTTTCTGACCCTTTGCCCTCAAGGCTCTACTCTCATCTTTGTTAGCCATTTTCATCTACATACGGATTTAGTGTAGTCAAGATCATTTAGAAGTGTATGCATTGAGCATGGCTGTCAACTGCATGGACTGTTGTTGAGACAGTGGAGACAGTGTGTGTCAACGGTCTGTCTTTTCTTCTTGTCTTCGTGTGTTGGTGGTGTTGTTGTGGTGGTTGACGTTCTGCTTTGTGGTGGATTTGATTCGCTGAGGGTTCAGTTAGTATCGTTAGTAGTTTCCTAGGCTGGTATCTCTGGCAGACTGTTAGATAATACTACCAGTTGCAGAACCCTTCCATCATGGAATGCATTCAGTCGAAGAAACATTGTAAACCCGTGAGTATTTAGTAGCTGTATTATTCTCGATTGAGGTTTCTAGGTGTCGAGACCCACGATCGCCAAATGTCATCGTGAGCTCATTGCCACTGGGCTAAAATAAAATGATCCACATTTCCATACTTCTGTCAGTCCTCTGATATGAAATATCACAACTTTATGTCAGAAATTCGGGGAAACTATTTCACAGTAAGCGATTAATGGTCTCTGGAGGTAGATTAGTCAGTGGCTCTAAAAAACCTAGCAAATGAATATTTTGCTTCAATATTTACTGGTGATGGAAATCTCAGTTGGTGTTCAATAGCAGTTGAGATAAAAGAATATTGCTGCTAAGAAAAGTTGGTGTTATTGGTTCGATAGATATGAGTCTTCACATAATTTTACATACATATATAGCTTATATTTCTTTCAACTGTCTGATTTTATACGTTCACTTCAAAAATGACTAGTTTGATCTTTAACTACTAATGAGCAGTATAGATTTTATGACAAAAGTTAACCGGTTTGCATTCAGATAATTTCTCATACTTACTTTTAGGTTCCTCTTCATAAAGGACTGAAAAAGTTCAAAAATGCACATATTAAGAGAAGATAATGCTGTTGAATAATTAAGTGAATTAGTAAGCGATTGATTCAGTACATGATGCTAGAGTTCCACATTACTGCAGCTTAGTTGATATATCATATGAGATAACCATAGTTTGGTTGGCTAGAATTTATGCTGGATGAATACTGGTGAAATGAATATTTGGATCGCGGCCGGATATGAACCAGTGACCATCAGGTTTACGATTTGATGCTCTATACTTTTATTGATGTAGCAAACGTCGGTATTCACTGAATTACTCCACGAAAGCCAATGAACATATTCAAATAGGTTCATTTGAGAAAATCGCAAGACATACAGACACTACTATGAATGAGACTATTAAGTCCACACCTGAACTAATGCAACAATCAAAGCCACCTCTGGTGATTCAAAATGGTTAAATCCAGTGACTGAACTTTTCAGTTTTAGCAAAATGTATGATGCTTTCAGAGTTCATAAACTAAATTATCTCATTAAACTCGTCATTGACTTCATGACAGCTTCAATTCATGAGTTATCTAAGTATTTATCGTCAATAATATACTTTATAGCCCATGATAAGCTACTGTCACACCCTAGACTATCCGGTTGATGTGAAATGAAGAAAACTTCAGATGATATTTAGATAGAAAGGGTGCGAAAATGATCAGTTTCGACATACCAAGTTTATATACTAATATACCAACCAATACCGCACTGAAGGTTGTCAAAAATAATCTGAGCAAAGGTTATGAGCTCACTCATAGAACCAGGGAACCGAATGAAGACATTATGTTAAGAGTTTATTCTTTCAACTATTGCCTTTGAAGTTGTCGAATTCCATAGAGCAGAAGTCACGGACTTATCAATAAATCTAGTCTTAGCGGATGAAGTTAAGTACAGTTAGGGACGAATGTCTCTAGAAAACTATAATTTCACCTCGGAAGTTAAGTAGAGAAATATGGATGCTACATTTACATGTTTTCTTGCTTCAGGTTATACTGTAATAAAGATGCGTTTTCCTTTGTACTACTATTTATTATCGTTGTAAAATTCATTTGCATCTTTTTTGTGTAGATACTTCTTTTAGTGACCAGAATATACCTATTGTGCCATTAAGAAGACAGGAATTTCAGCAAATATGTGTTTTGTCTGGAATTTCAACAGGTTAAAACCTTAAATACAATAATTTTCTTTTAAAACTATCGAGTGATGAAGAATGCCACTTTAAGAGTTGATTTCTGAGATAAAAGTTGGGTGTTAGCTAATTTTACTCTGTTAGGATTTCAGTACATAGAGTGAAAGTCAATAACAGATAAAGAAAATCAGTGTCGAGCCTTGCACATAAGAGTATCGTTCCAAGTTGTTACACTTAACAGTAGTACATAAAGAGCAGGTGAACAGAAAAAGAGCGTATCAAAGTAGACACAGTGATCTTAGTTGTATTGCGTTCTCTCAGCTGGGTTTTTTAATCGTGAAGCTTTCATTGTCTTTCTAGACGACATCATCACCACTAACTTCAGTATGAAGTCAGCTGTCACTATCTGTCAGTGAGTGATTCAGTGCTTGCTCTGACCAACTGGTTTGTGATTAGTTGTTTCCTTCGATCGTTGTGCCATTGATTGTATGGATTTTCCTTTTGACTGCTCCTCGGTTTGACCTCTCACCCTTCTGCCTTTCATCATTTTTCTTATTGGTTGATAGATTGGGTTCATGTCTATACATCTATTAATTGCTGACTGACCTGAATGTCAAGCTTCTAGAAATTCTCTGGTATTCTTTGCTTCCTCTCACCACCCAAAATTTCACACTGCTCAAAATAGAATTCATATTCATAGTTGTTATCCATGTGCATTCAAATGAGTGATGAAATGTCATGATATTTAGTAGACAATTGATGTTTATGTAAACGAAGGTGAAGAGGGTGACAGCTTTGTCCAATGTAAGGTTGACTAAAGTTGTTGCAGCTGATTTGTAAATGATACTCGATTTATCTTCTTTGGTTGTTGCATCCCTTAGTCTGCATAATAGTGTTTGGAGGGAATTTGTTGGTTTGTGAGCCACACCAATTCTAAGTAGTCTCAGTCATCTGGTGATTTCTGTTATATTCTTTATGTACGGTGGGATGATGCGTTTGTTAATTTCTGTCGATGACTTTGTAATTGATAATGTACGGCATAGGTATGGGTTGTTGATATTATAGTTGAGGATTAGATCAGTGTGTGTGATTCCTGTACACTTGGGTTTCCAGCCTTCGTCCTACTGACTAAAACATTCAGGAATGGTAGTTGGTTGTTTGACTTCTTCTCCAATGTGAATTTCTGGTTATTGGACGTCTTAGAGCACTCGCTAAATGATAGCGTACTAATCTCCTGACAGTTACTAAAGAGGAGAAACAAAGAAAACGATGGGCTGACCACTTCAAAAAACTCTTGATCGACCACCACCTGCACTTCGTCCAGAAATACCACCAGCAGCCCAGCCAGAGAATTACCAGCGAACACAAGCCCTCCGACAGGAGCAGGAGAAAAGTCCTGAACTCCATAAAACTGCTGAAATACGAGAAGTCAGTAGGACCAGATGGAATTCCACCAGAAGCACTGAAAACAGACGCAGAGACAGCAGCGGACATGCTTATACCACTATCCTAGATGGTTTGAAAGGAAGGAAAGGTACTTGCCGATTGACTGGAAGAAGAGCTACCTTGTCAAACTTCCAAAGAAGGGTGACCTAAGTCTTTGCAAGAACTGGCGGGGAATCGTGCTCCTGTCCACCCCAAGCAAAATATTGTGCTGCATAATACTTGAGGGGCTGAAAAATGCTCTGGATTCAGAATTACGACCGAACAGGCTGGCTGGATTCAGGAAGTACAAATAATGTATGGACCAAATTGCAACGCCACGCATCATCATAGATCACAGTATGGAATGGCAGTCAACTCAACTCCACCTCACATCAACTTCATCCATTTTGAAAAGATCTTCGATAGCGTCGACCGAAAAGTAACTTGGCAGGCAGCTACTTCAGCACTATGGTTTTGGTGCCACAAACCTTTATCAACCTCATTCAACAACTATATGAAAACGCCACATGCAAAGTAATTTACAATGATGCTTTGAAGTGAAGACAGGAAGGAGTGAAACGAGGCTGTCCACTATCACCATGATATTCGTGATTGTAGTGAACTCGACTGGATGATGCAAGAAACAGTGAGGAGCTGTGAGAACCTTTATCAACCTAATTCAACAGCTATATGACGACGCCACATGCCAAGGGATTGACAGTGGGAAGCTCAGTGACCCCTTTGAAGTGAAGACAGGGATAAAACAAGGCTCCAAGGCTGTCTACTATCACCGATGATCTTTCTGATCGTGGTGGACTAAATCATGCAACGGACAACTATGGGAAGCGAGAAGAGGGGCATACGCTGTGTTGACCGATGAAAAGAGCCTAGTAGATTTGAATTTCGCCGATGATGACTTATGTCTAATGTCTTGTCACACAAACTCGAAGATCTATAGGCGAAAACCAACAAGTTGACAGAAGAGGCGAGGCGTGGCAGCAAAGACGGGATTTCAAGTGAACGTAGAGAAGACACAGGTGATTAAGATACCCAACCACCACCACCACCAACAACAAAAACAACAAGCACCAGTCACCATCAACGGGAGACATCTGAAGGAAGTAGTCTCTTTTACTTACCTGGGAAAAGCAGCATCGTTTCAACTACAGGTGGCGGCACAGATGAGGATGTCAAAGCCAGGATCGGAAAGACGGCAAGACAAACCTTCATTAGTCTGAAATAATCAGTGTGGAGATCTACTGCACTGCACCGTACAATGCTCTGCATAAAGAACAAGGTCCGGGTTTCCAACACCAAGTCAGTCAAGTCAGTGCTTCTGTGTGATGGTTAAGGAACTTGGTGCGTTACGTAAAGCATTTCCAACAAACCATAGACATACATCAATAGCTGCCGCCTACTCTCACTCGTTACTGAAGATCAGATCAGATGGCTCAAAAGAATAAGTAATAGGGAACTCACTCTAGGAACGAACCAACTAAGAACCTATCGCTCAACAAATATACTGAAAGAAGTGGAGATGGATTGGATTGGATTGGACATAAACTGAGAAAACCGATTGGACAAATCACGCATCAGGCCAGGCCAGGCCGTCGAATGGAATCCAAATGGGAAAGGACCAGTTGGGTATCCGAGGCGAGGGTGACATGGAGGAGGTGGTGTGAGGAAGAACTAAAAGCTTGTGGGTAGTCGTGGAGTCAGGTTGAAAAGATTGGAGAGAAGAGAGTGAAATGGCAAAGTGGTAGTGAGTCCCTATGTTCCACTTAAAACCCAATGGACAAACAATAATTAATAATAATAATAATCTGACTTTCAGCTAATCGGTTTGATTTCATCTTCAGCTGTTCTGTATACATCTGTGAAAAAACTAACTCTCCGGTGCTGTCTGATTATAAATTGTATCCTAGTTGATACTTGTTCATTTCAAAAATTATCTTGAGATATTACATATTCTGTACGTTATGGTTCTTACCTTTTTCATATCTCTTATTCCTTTTTTACAACTGATTTGTGTTTTTATGTATTGGTGACTTCATTGATTAAAAGTGTTACCATTGAAGTGCAGACAAATAAAGTGAACATGACTAGCGTGTAGATTGCAACAACCAGTTGAATGGCCAGTGAGAATAAGTTCTGTAGACTTTAAAATTACTGAATACTTCAATATCTAATGTTATAAGATTTAGATCTTCCTCGTTGACTAGACTGAACTGATCAACCACTATTAGTCTCTAGAGTCTTGTATAGATGCCTTGATGCCACCGAGATTTTCAGTTTTCATAAAACTGATGGATAGTGACTAGCATAAGTATCTTGGATATGCGTTTGATCTTGTTCAGAACTTGTTAACTGTATGTACCTGCCTCCCAGTGAGTCACTTTGCTCCCATTGAGATTCAAAGCCGAGCCAAGTTTCTTCAAACTCCAAGGCATTATTCACTAGGGCACTGAACCACAGTAGGCACTCTTTGTCCTAAATTGTAGATATGAGGTTTATCGAGGCATCTGTACAGAAGCTCGTATACCAATAGTGACCAATCACTTTGGTTTAATCAACGATGCGAATTTATAAGCCATGAATTTAAAATTATACCCTTCACATATACTCAGTGGCCTAGAGAATAACGTTCTGGTGTTTGAAGTGATTAATCTTGGGTTCAAGTTATAGTGGGGGAAAATGTCATTCACTGGGAAGTAGGCACATTCAAGTGATAAGTCCCAAATAGGACGAAACGCGAGTCCTAGATACCACTGCTAGTCACTACTCATCAGTGATTCCACTTTATATCTCTTGGAAAATGTTCAGTACATGCTAATCAATATTGACCTGTTACAGTTCAAACGTCAATATTCTTAGACAATCAAACTTATAAAGGTAAGGGGAAAAAACACATTATCATTCAAGGGTTCAGTATTCAAGTGAAACTTGATGATTAAACGTGGACTGCTGGGAAGTAGATCCTCCTGAAAGGCTTCTTAGTTTATAAGCTTAAATAATGATGAATTCACGTTACATCACTGAAGTAGGTACAGTATTCGGTATGACTTCATATGGAACCTAATTTGATTTTATTGTTCATCAGTATACCTAAAGAAAATTACTAATAAGCCTATTTTTACTAGATTAAATAACAAGCTGATGTTTGAGTTGTTGCATTTTTCGTTGGTGAGAAAGAAATTACCATCACAAATGTTAAGGAGATATGTAGCAATTTCACGTATTTGTGAAGCTACATTGAAGATTATGGTATTCATGAGTTGTATGAAAACTATAAATCTATAGATCATGGAATGTTTACTGCATTTCTCAGCTGAAATGATGATGTATATTATAATAAGAAAGAATTTGTTTTGAAGTAGAGCCTGAAAGATACTTTCAGTAATTTCCATACTTTATGAGAATTATAACATCACATAATAATAGAAGTATCCTTTGTAGGTATATACATAGTAGTATCTAAAAAGGAACCTGTGACAAATAAGGAGTCATTTAGATTCTTTTAAGAAGCTGAATTCCACTTTCTTATCTCATCAAATATCTAACTAAGCCAACTAAATTTATACATATTCACTTAACAAGATTATACTACCTTATTTTCTTGGCGTTTATATAATGATTTCTGTATTTGCCTTGTAGTAATAGGATGGTGTTGACGGAGTATGCTTAGAATCCAGAAGTGAAAGTGCTAAAAAAATTCAGTCCCAGCGCATCCAGTCGACACAGGGTATCGAATAGATGCCAATAAAGCTTTGAGTATCATTCTTCGTGTTCCGAACATGACACCACATGTAGCTCACCAACGCCTGCTCAACATAGAGGAGATTATGGCAATAAGATTGATCAAGACTGAACTCTGTATTCAAAAAGAACATTTTCAAGCGTTACTTTTCTCTTGGCTTTCAGTAAACTAAACGCCACTCCTGTCATCTTATTCATTATCTTCTTGTTCATCATCATATCATTCATCTGTATATGTATAATCCCCATATTGACTAATTTGAACATGTACCTGTCCATAACATGGCTTGTTTTACGCTGTACAAATACATTTTATAATTTTAGAACGTGAAAAGAATATTCTTCGCTATGATCGTGCTTTTCATAAAATTGCATTCACCAAGGTCATACACATACAGAAAAGCTTCGGTAATAAATGTTACCAAGCTGGAAGTCTATATGAGTTACTGCATTCCACTTACTATCTTGGAAATTATCAGTCTAACTGTCTGAGGTAGTCATGATTTACCAGACGGAGCTATGGCAGTGTCTTAGAAATGTCTAATTGAGCATATTCTACTAATACATTATAAACTCACTGGAAATCCTACTTCGTACGTAATACTGGAAACTGATGTTAAAAGTATTCAACTGGCCCCTCCTCCGATTTCCATGTTTCTTGAACAGCTTCACAACCAACTCACCTCTCTACCAGTACCTTATTAATATCACATACGAAACCTCAAGCACAATAACCGGTCTCCGATTTCTGATCCATGACAAATGCAGCAGAATCTGGATAAACAATCCAACCCCGAGAGATCACTTTACCTAACGGTAACATATTCATAATAATGCTATGCAACAAATTTCTCTAGTACTTTGTCTTGTAGCAATCCATCTAATAGAAGTCAGTTAACAGCCAATGTTTCTCCTTGACAATGTTGCACACTTTGATATGAAGTCTATGAAGTTTTACATGTGTATAATATTCACCACTGTTCAACGACGATTCTTTCATTCTTTAATTAGTTGCACCACAACAAATGTTTCCAGTACTACCAATCTGAATTGCTGGAAAAGGTAACACTTGAAGAGTGAGAAACGCCTGAACTTAGACATTCACCTGGATTAAATGATGATTGTATGGATAATTACTTATTCCTGAAATCATTGAAGTTGGCTGTTATTGGTCAATACAGCTAGGAACATAAGAATTACTGTTACTGTTTATCTGACGAAAGACTGGGTTTTGCAGATGGATCAGTCGTGTCGACTATTCATAAATGCAAACACCCAATATTGCTCCATTTGATGTGAAAAAAGAATTGTAAGTAGGAATGATCTCAACTCAGAACTATATGTATGTACTGTAAAGTGATATTTTCCTGCTATTTTCATAACATTTAGACACTTGATATCATGATAGAGTTTAATGTCTTCCTTCTGTACTATTCAACACTGCTCATACCTTTTAGGTTTCTCTGGAATTATCAGTTTGATGATGCTTGTAAACCGGCTTCTCTCATGTTAACTTCATAACTAGAGAATAAAGATATTTATTTATTAAGATTAATTATGAAAACTGAGATTGACAATAAAAAGTTTACCTTCTTGATATGCTTTCTTCAACATGTGTATTTCACTATTATTACAGCAACAGATGATTTCATTTAGAACGTCTGAATTGGTACCAAATCCTTTCATGCCTTTATATAAATCATGTGCTAATATTTGTAGATTTCCACGAAATAATGTCTTGATAAGACTTTCATAATCACCTCTGGTTGATGATGCCAAAACATTCACTAAATCCTTTCAGAGAAATGAAAGAAAAATATTCAAACAATAGATTACAGGTAAATATGAGTCACATAGAAGACATTAGAGTGAGAGAACAATGGGAGAAAGGTTATTTGTAGGTTATATTGATGCCATAGTGACTTTGATGTTAAGTATTGAATGGATGACCATCGACAAAACTATCGCCGGCTACCATAGAAAGTTGGACTACTCTTCTGTTGAACTATTAGATAGTAATTTCTGAGTAAAATATAAGTTACTTCCGATCAGTCGTCACCTTTAATCTTGAGGCTTTAACAAACATGTAGGCGATTTACTTCACATATCTGCCATCTTATTTAGAAGATTATCAACTGGACTATTCATCACAGTAATTAGACCACAAGGTTTAAGTGTCACTAACTTCCATCAATAAGATTTTCATTGGAGATATTTTGTTGCAAAAGGTTAGAATGTTTGAGATTGTGAACAAAACTCAATTGGTCAACCTCTATCATAATAAGATCTCTGTATGCGAATAGATTTATATATGCTGCCAGCAATTGTATATCGATTATATCACAATGGAATCCACTCTTATTATCTTACCCCACTATTTCAATATCGCTTCCTAGAAGATTATCTAAAATCGTTACTCTGAGGTATAATAAAGTCCGAACGTTTTCATCCAGTGAATATGGAGTACAACGTTGACAGTACTTCGGCCTTTACTGCTAGACACAGAAGACCACAAAAATATCTCTAGGTTCCCAAGCTTCCGACTGCCAAGCATAGGGGAGGTGACGATAGTTGAAATTTCAGTCTTTGTCAAAGTTTTTCATACAAAAGATTTTTGAAAAATGCCTTACCTCCTAAGCTTCGTAGTCTATCTTTAATTCTAATATTTTATTAGTTAATATTCTATGACAGGTAGTGCAACCTAACAGTCTACCAGAGATACCAGTCTAGCAAACTACTAACGATACTAACTCAACCCTCACCGAATCAAATCCACCACAAAGCAGAACGTCAACCACCACAAAAAACAACACCACCAACACACGAAGAAAAGAAGAAAAGACAGACCGTTGACACACACTGTCTCCACTGTCTCAACAACAGTTCATGCAGTTGACAGCCATGCTCAATACATACACTTCTAAATGATCTTGACTACACTAAATCCGTATGTAGATGAAAATGGCTAACAAAGAATGAGAGTTGAGCCTTGTGGGCAAAGGGTCAGAAAACTATTGATGGTATGAAAACAGCTATGTAGGTTACTTCAGAGTCATGGTCGAAACAATAGGCAAAAGCTATGCAAAAGTAGGGGAATATATAGCATAATTGTTATATCACAGTAATCTGTTACTGTATAATGCCCATTAATGATATGCTTCGAGATGGATATTTCGAAGTTCTAATGTGAAGCTGTGACTTTTATGGTCAAGTAATTGGAAGCGAAGTGGGTGCCAACTAATGTCCTTGAATGATATTCATATTATATCGTGAACTGGTAGAAGTAGGAAGCTATGAGCCATTGAACTTCAATCCAGTGACTGAATGGTGACTGAATGCTGGCTAGGGAACCTGAAGCTGTGGCGGTTCGTGGACTTGCAGTATCCAAGGAGTCCTATCGTAGGATGAAGCAACTGTCTAGTGTTCTGATATGTCTAATGGTTCTCCAACTGATGTCAGTCCATGATGAATACCAACCTGTTTTTTTGTTCCAAGTTAGCATTCATCACGGAGGCATGCTACTGAAGCCCTATGTTCCACTAGAAACCCAAGGGACAAATAATAATAATGATAGTAGTAGACTTAAGAAGGTTATCTTCACCACATCTGTCTTCTTATTTTCTGTGACTAAATGGGGGTGGTGTGGTGTTGATGGGAGAGATTTCACTTATTGGTGACTGAAAATCCTGGCAAGAAAAGATTGAATATACATGTTTATTTAGGCCATGATTTCCAATTCTTATAATGTTAGAATTTTCATCATTTGTTATTTACTAGTCGGTTATACATTCACCGTTGCCCTAATGTCTTTTTAAGCACCAGTCTGTTGTTCTATGAACCTGAAATTCACAATAATTGACTATGAGATATTGAAGTTGACCAAGTATAATGTGAATTCCAAACTTACCAAGAGGGTAGTGATGGATAGTGGCCAGCAGTGGAATCCATGATACGCACTTCGTCCTATTTAGGACTCGTCAGCTGGATATACTTGGCTCCCAGTGAGGAGGGTGCTATTTCCACCGGAATTCGAACCTGGGACCGATCGCTTCAAACTCCAAGGGTGTTATCCACTAAGTCACCGAGCCATGATAGCCACTTCTTGTGCTACGGTTATTATTGTTTGCATTATCCTGTTATTGACTTGGACTATTATCATATGATTAAAAACATAGGCAATACCAAGGTATCCACGTCGGAGCCCATATGCCTATTGAAACCGATCAATTTGGTCCAATAAACGACTGTATCATGCAAACAATAACATCATTACCAAGAGGATACTGAATCTCACCCTCAGATATTTCAGACGTAAGTTGTGGATGCACATTGACTGATGACTAGAGAGCAACCAATCTCAAGTTACCTACTCCTGAGTGCACACTTAATTCTGTCTATTATTTTGAAATGAGGTCACTAAACCAGGAAGCTCCCCACAGAGGTCCCCTTTGATAGATGTTATTTAGTTTCAGCCTTTCACTGAGTATAATCTGTAGTGGTGATATTAAAGGTGGAAATAATCTAATGGTTCCATTCACATTAAGAAAAACGAAATAATGTAAAAATCTCTTTTATTCTTCAAGTGGATCAATCGACTGTCATAAGGAAGGGATTTTCAGATTTCTGATAAAATTCTTCCATATTGGTTTTGTTTATCTGATAAACAATACATGGATACAGTCATATTTACTGTATGATATTTTGAGCAAAATTTATTGCTCGAATCAACACGATTTTCAAACTTCTGTTATACAATTCAATATTTTATTATTCTATGTGGAGGTATATAGAGGTTCATTAATTGATTTTAGGGTGAAATCACGACTGACATCAGTTTGAGGAACATTAGAAGACTTGGAGCATTGGACAGCCGTTTCGTGTCACGACAGGACTCCTCAGCAATGTGCACTAATGACCTCACCCCGCACCCTGGGACCTAGCCCGGGATGTTCAGGTTCCGTGGCCAGCACGTTACTATTGAGCCAATGGGTCGGTATCCAGTCGTTCATATTTCTACTTCTGTGAGTTCACGATATAGCGCGACCTATATCCCATGTCGTCGTTGAGTAACTGTCCTCATGTTTGACTTGATTAACTCCACTGATCATGACTTCGGGAATCACCTGTCGAAGCTAGTCAGCAATGAGAGCTAGACTAATTATATGTGGAGAAAATGTGGGCTATTAGGTTCCGACCCAGTTTCTCAACGGTAACGTGCTGGTAACGAAACTCGAAGGTCCTGGGTTCGATCTTCGACGAGGAGGGGTCATGGGTGTACACTGCTGAGAAGTCCCATACAAGTAGGACGAAACGGTTGTCCAGTGCTCCCAAGTTTTCAGTTTCTTCATTCTGTTAATAAAACGGTTATTAGGTTTTACTAGATATCTGCAATGTGTTATAAATCATTCTTGTTATGGTTTATAGGTCCTGGTTGATTCAGTGAACAGAGATTCAGTAATCAATCTCTAACTCCACTTAGTTCCATGGATTTTAGAATTGTCACCTTATCCCAACCACCGTTTTGTGTGATTATGGGTCAGTGCAAGCAGAGCGACAACCCAGTCTAAGTACTTTAAAGCCTAAAAGGGAACTGAAACACATTGAAGAGACTACACTTAATAACTACCCTCTGAAATTTCTGAAGAAATTTATAGAGATTTACAAGAAAAGGGGGGATAATATTAGTGGTTTCCACACGCCTAACAAGGGATTCACATCCTTTGTATTGTTGCCATGTGGAAAAGGCCCATTGAAAATTTACATAGATTTCTTAATAATGGTGGGATTAGAGTGACATGTAAACTCACAAACTCATTCAGAAATCCAGAAGGGTCAATCAAATAAAGTAACCTTATCCTTCATATACCATGTACTGACTGTGATGTCAAGTATATGGGTCATAGTGGCCGATTAGGGTCAGTGAGGATAACACAGCACCAAAATTTAGTGATATATATGGAATGATAGACGTTAATTAGACAGGTAGTTGAGCGAAAAACTTGGCTGTCAGTCTTCATGCACTGACCCATTATCACACAAAACAGTAGGATAGACTAGACTGAAAAATTTTCGCTATCGTCGAAATAAAAGAATGAAGAAATTTTAGACTGTATGATTAAAGTTAGGTCATGTTGATTACTTTGATATGAATATGAGACATCACTCAGTAACTATTACTGTATATTGTAACAAGTAAACAATTTAATAGGCGATTGGACCACAGAGCCCAAGTTGTGCTCTGAAGAATAATCACCTGACTGGATCATAAGCTTGAGTGATAACACGATTCAAATCAGAAACATCACAGTTCTTGGTACGCTTGTTAAGCAGTTGAGATTTGAAACAAAACTTCTGACAAGATGATTAATTAGCCAGGGTTTTGTGCAGCTGTTATGGGAATATCTAGTAGCCTAGTTCAAAATCATTCAAACTGTTTCTTTCTTTCTCTAGTGTTTAAACTGAGTTGTATTAGATCAAGAAAGACTATCTGAAGAGCAAGTGTTGTAAATAATGAATAGTAATATGTAAGACAATTCGATGAAGGTTTCAGTTGTTATGGTAGAATCAACACATGGTTAATTGATGCGTCCTAAAAGCTTAGTTTGTAGACTATTTAGTTGATAGTTTGAAGTTGTCTGCCTAGTAACGTTCCAACTACATATGTCATTCCACTATATGAATATTTGTTTCCGCGTCATAACTGTTTTAGATAGTCAGCTTAGAACAATCTAGGCTGGAACTAATTAACTAGTATTTCACTATCAGTTATCTTACGTAAAGTGATCTTTTCTTCGTCAGCAGTTCAATCTGTATATAATCTTTAATACTGATCATCACTTTATAAGAAAAAAGCTGCCACAGTTTAGTAAGGATTGACTAATTCAGATCAAGTTATCAATGATTTCTGTTCTTATAAAGCAACTATTCAATGAAAAGATACACTCACTAACCTTTTTATACCGCCTTTGAAAGGCTTCACGAATTTCATGACGTTGTCGTTGAGTTCGATGTCCCAGAATTCTGTTGATTGTCTCTTCATCTGGACCTTGTATTGAAGGTGGAAAATATTATTTTCAGCATGAATGATAAATAAATATCATGGTGTATTGAAATGCTACTCTATTTATGAATTTCTCAAATAGATTACGTTTAATCATCTGTTGTGTATATAAATTTACCCATTAGTGAGTAGTGTGTAAATTACAGAATTTACAAAGTAAGGTTTGAGTTTGTACATGAATCTTGAACTGATGGTAACTGGTAGCTATTCGTTTGGTTGGATCGGGTGAACTTCATACTCCCTTATGTGAAAAGTTAAATTGTAAGCTTTTGTGTCTAAATCCACCCCTTAATACCATACGTCCGTAAAACTCAGGTAAAGTGGAATTTAACGACAATGATATTTAGCTTGTTAACGTGAAATATAATCAATCGAGATGTAGAATTACTCAGTTTGATGACCATACTGCAAACATAGATTGTTTTTATTGTTATTATTTGTCTCTTGGGTTCTTAGTGAAATCTTTTGGACCTGGCTCTACGATTGCCCACAAGCTCTCATTTCTTCCTCACATTATCTCCCCCATGTCACCCTCGGATGCCCAACTTGTCGCTTCCTATCTGGGTTCCACTCAAGTGTCCGGCCTGACGCGTGATGTCCCCTCTGTCTTCGCTACGTTCACTTGAAGTCCCGTTTTCACTGTCCTGTCTCTTCTGTCAACTTGTCAGTTTTCACCTGTAGATCTTCAAGTTTGTGTGACATTAGATACAAGCCGTCGGCGAAATCTTGATCTCCTAGGATCTATTCCCTGGACCAGCGTATGCACCTCTTCTTGCTCCTCACTGTTTGTTGCATGATCCAGTCGACCACAAACAGGAAGATCATAGGTGATAGTAAACAGCCTTGTCTTACTCCGCAAACACAGATAAAATAACTGAATCATTAAGATATTGATTACGACGTAGTAAGTGATTACTGAATTTAATACATGCTTTGGATAAAACAAGATGATTCCATGAGAATTTCTTCTACAGTTCATACAAGGGTTCGAAATGTATCGAAAAACATTATTAATCATCTTAAGACAGAATTTGTTGAGAGAATTTGCCTTTTATTGGTTTCGTTTTACAGCATACTACTAAAAAAAATAAGCAGCAGCAAACTAAACGAAGGAAGTCATTTGAATGAATTAAGAATATTCTTTTCGGTAACTTCTTTTTCGAATTCCTAGAGTTATACTTCGATATTGTGTAATTTTGCTTGAATAATTATTGGGATATAGTTAAACAGTTTCTTAATAATATTATGTAGTTGAGGAAATCTCTTTACGTGAACGTTAATGTGGGAATCAATTAGGATTGGAATTCTATTCAAAATAACTTATTATCTAAGCAATTATACTACTTAGGTAATGTTATAAAATGGCAGTTTAATAAAACAGTCAGAGTGTTTATGAGAGATGGATGAAATAAACAGCTTGACAGAATACTACTCATGTTGCGGGACAAAATAGATTAAGAAAATGTGATAAAACTACTTCAGATTATAAGGATAATGGGGTATCTAAAGTATGGAATTGAAAAATCAGATTATCTGGAATAGGATGCTAGGGAATTTGTAAGTCTTGAATCAGATCAAAGTAGTTGTAGCGGTAATACTTGTTTTTTTAACTTCATAACTCAGATTATTTTACCCTGAGTTCAACTACTTCTGTAGTCTAAATCACTCAGAGGGGAGTACCTTTTGGCAAGTTGATGGGAACCCGGTACAGAAGAAAAAGCAACCTAATCATATCTACCATGTTGTTTTTTTGAACTGAGTACGCCAATATGTAGTTGGTAATAGTCTCCTTCGCATCTTGGCTTAGCCACAGTAAGTTAAATCCTTCGAACAGCAGTCAAAATAACGGGTTGGACATAAGCAGTCAAACTGATAGACACAAAATGCCTAATCCATGACTTTCAAGCAACGACTGTGTTGCATCATATTTCAAAGAAATACTGAAAATAATTCTGTTTTCATCTTTATAGTTTTAACAAGGAATTATGCTTCTGATGAATGCTGTCATGAGACGAAATGTCTTTTAGTTAACCTTAAAATGAAATATTCTAATTACTATACAACTGCCTTTGGGATTATTATTATTCTCTTGGGTTCCTAGTGGAACATAGGGCTTCAGTAGCACGCCTCCATTGCGCTGTCTTCTCTCCAGTCTTCCTAACCTCACTCCACGACTGCTCACAAGCTTTCATCTTTTCCTCACATGATGTCCATGTCACCCTTGCCTCGGAGGCCCAACTTGTCGTTTTCCATTTGGATTCCACTCGAGTGCCTGACAAGTGATGTCCAAAATCGGCCATCTCAGTGTATGCCCAATCCATCTCCACTTCCTTCTGCATATTTGTTGGGCTATTGGTGGTTGGTACGTTGTCAGCTAGAGTTCCTTGTCGCTTATACTTTCTGGCCATCTGATCTCCATCTTCTGTATCGAGGGTAGGTAGTAGCTGTTGATGACTGTCTGTAGTTTGTTGGAAATGCTTTACGTGACACGCCAACTGTCTGAACCGTATAGCAGCTCTGACTTGACTGACTTACTGCTGAGAATCCGGATCTTAATCTCTGTGCTGAGTGCAGTAGATCTACACACTGATTTCAGATTAATGAAGACCTGTCTTGCTTCCGTGATCCTGGTTTTGAAATCCTCGTCTGTGCCTGTGCCTGTGGCGCCTGTAGTTGAAACGATGCTGCTTAGGTAGGTGGAAGTGACTACTTCGTTTAGGTTTCTCCCATTGGTGATGGTGATTAATGCCCCTTGTTGTTCATGCTGTGGTTGGTTTGGTATCTTCATCACCTCCATCTTCTCTATATTCACTTGAAGTCCTGTTTTCTCTGCCCTGCCTCTTCTGTCAACTAGTTAGTTTTCGCCCGTAGATCTTCGAGTTTGGGCTACAAGACATTAGACATAAGTCATCATCATCGGTGAAATCCAAATCTTCTATGCTCTTTTATAGGTCAAGCAGTGTATGCCCATCTTCTTGCCCCTCACGGTTTCTGCGTGATCCAGTCCACTACAACCAGGAAGATCATCGGTGATAGTAAACAGCCTTGTCTTACTCCCGTCTTCACTTCGAAGGCATCACTGAGCTTTCCATTGTGTATCACTTGGCAAGTGGCTTTTTTATATAACGGTTGAGTGAGGTTAATAAAGGTTTGTGGCAATCCGTATTATTGAAGCAACTGCTAAATTACGGGATAGGGTTGCTAACCCTATGCCCAACCTTCCCTTTTTATCCGGGCTTAGGACCAGCTAGTAACCAGTGAACTAGTTAACCAGAATAAAAGTGATCCTATTAACATTTTCTCATCACTCTGTACAATTTGCTGTCGTAAGAACAATGTGTTTGTCACAATGAAAGGAGACATACAGACTGAAGAGTGCTTATACATTATTAAAGAAATATTTTCACTGAGACTATGTAAGAAGCTTCGGAGGGGTCAAGTAAAATACTTCTAATTTCAGGAATTTACATTAACAAACGTAATTGAGGAGAACTGAGCGCTTAAGTGTACACTGTAGAAATAGGTCAGTGACACAGAGACTTGGTTACGAACACTTTCCAAACTAGCAAAAGAATGACAGACAATACCTAGATACTGGTGAATGGATTGTTAAATCCCATATGATAGAAATCTCGGAGATAGTAAGTAATTTGTTGAAGTTAGTTATAGTTATTATGTTTAGACTAAAAGACGTGATAACGATGGAATATAGTATTAATGGATTGTGGCCAGCAGCGGAATCCAGGACGTGCGTTTCGTCCGTTTTAAGGCTTGTCAGCTGAATGTCTCTGCCTTCCAGCAAGCTATGTTGTTCCCACTAACAATCAAACGGGTTGATTGCTTCAAACCTTAGAGCGTTATCGACCTGACCGCCGAATTACAATAGGCACCTTCCTTTGTGGTAGGTATAGTTTTATTGTTATTATTTACATTATCAGATCAAATACTCAGTTTAATCAACGACGACATAATATAGGCAAAAACATTGACACTAGTATTATCATTGTTGTTACTAGTGAACATTAGAAGGCGTGTTTTTACCTTCTTTTAAGATAAACACTTTTTTTCTCTATTCGATTCTGTATGCGAATGATAACCAAACAATAAAGTACAGAAAATCCTATTTTTCGATGTAAATTTTTGATTAGTTTATTTTTCTTGGCTGTGGTCTTTCGTAGAAATACTAAGTTGTCGCTACTAGACACCTAGCGTCAGTTCAGGCTTTGACTTAAGTAGATAATTACAAATTAGTACTGCGGTATAATGAGTCCCTACAAATCCTCAAACTGAATAATTGTCCAGTGTTCATTACAGACACGCTTCCAGATGGAATTCCTAAACTTCTAATAAGAAGCCATGACCTGTTGGGTCATTCAAATCAGTTACAAAGAAAAATGTTGTCTGGTGATATTGGGTGGTAACCGTTTTATACGGTGACCTGGTAGAAGTATAAGAATGTCGATCACTAGCGTTTAACTCAGTCGCTGAGTGATAAAACACTCGCCTTGACACCTGAAGGTCCCGAACTCTATGTCTCGCTTGGGATCAACCGTGCGCACTTCGGAACAGTCTCATAGCAGGACAAAATGGTTTTTCAGTGCTCCTAGGTTTTCGGTGACTTTCTAACTAATGCCTAACCCTGATGACTATTTCATTGAAATCAACCGATACCGAGAAACCTCCAAATTAAAATAGTTTAAAATCGTTGAATTATATGTTCGTTTCATATTAAATCCTTGGTATATATATATCAAACTTGTATCATGAAAGATTTGCCGTCAACCTCGGTTACTTTCTGCAATTAGGTTAACCTTTTGTGTGAATTGAGTATCTTGTGCGGTGGAAATGAAATTTTTTTGGTCGACATTCAAGCTTTACGTTTACTCCTGAAACTGACTTATCTTCATCGTCTTTCTGGAAAGGCTAACCAGGACACATGCTAAGTGCTAGCTGGTTACATTCATATTTCTCTGAAAGGAAACAATGTACTGTTCATAGAGGGGAGCGTTCCACCCCACTGCTTCATAAAGCTGATGATTTCTAAGGTGCCCTTCTTTCCACCTGAACTTCTCTCTTTCTTTCTTTCTGTACGACTTACCATCTTCAGCTAGTATCAATTTTGTCGAATATGCTGATGACGAGATAGTTCTCACACCTATGTATTCTCTAACAGATTGCTTCCAGATGAACAATTTTCTCCATGAATGGTGTTTTGCTTAATTCTTCCTAGTTTTAAACATGAACATAACCTATGTAAACTGATTCTTGATTCTTGTTTCAGTGATGGTTATGCATTAAAAAATGTTACACTTGTGATTTATCTCGGTATGCATTTTTCTTCGCACCTTTACTGGTCCTTCCATATCTTGCCAGCTTTGAAAATGATTTTTTACTTAACTTTCTACACTAGTAAGCTGAGAGTATCAGGTATAACAGCCTTTCATCTTGTGTCTTATAAACTCCTGCATCATGCCTATTCTCCTCTGTTGTTCCCCTTTATTCTTTCCTACGTTAGTGAATAAAGATTATGTTATATTGTGTAGAACTTTGAAAAGTGTCACCAGAACTAGTGGTGTACCTCTAAACCTTTTAGTTAAGACAGTTGTGGACAAGTATATTAACTCATTTAAACATCTGGCAGGAGTTAGTTTATCCTATGACTAGCATCCTCTTCACTCAAGGATCTCCATGTGTCAATCGTTAGTAATATTGTAAAGTATTATCAACTTCAGAATGATAATTTGACCAGATAGAGTTGAATAAGTTGGGTATTTAATAAATGGATTATAAATGAAATGTACTTGTAAAATCTCAGTGAGGTAGAAAAAAAAAATAAATTTCTAATATTTCGTGACTTCGTGGAAGTCGCTTATTCTTTACAGAATACAGCCTGTACAAGTTATCGACTATTAAAGTAGTAATTGATGATAAATCGCATCGTGTTGCTCATATATGACAAAAATATGGGCACTTATGCAGTTATATTCCGGGGTCATTCTCTGAAGAAGCAATTTTCATGTAGTCGTGAAATATCAAAACTTAATTTCCTGTTTGGATGCATGAATCTCATAACTGCTGCATGTGTTTGATAGTACCACTTTTAGTTGTATTGTGTTCTCTGAGCTGAGTTGCTTAACCGTGCAGCTTTCATCGTTTTTCTTTAAACCTGTTTACAAAACTTGTTGGTGAAAGAGCCTTAAATTTGTTGAGGAAGTGGAAAACAGTTTTTTAAAACTCGAAATAAGTCAATTCTGAAACTCAGTTGACTGTCTTTGTTATTTGAACTTAGCCTTCCTACTTGATCTCTTTTTCTATTCCCATCCCTTATCCCTTTTATAAATTTTTATACAAATACTCATGACAAGTATATGTGTACATGGAACAGACAAATCACTTCCTACTTTGTATGACTTTCACTGCAACAAACTTATCAGTAATTATGTAAGAAGAAACAGAGTAATTAGATAAGTTTTATCACTTTTTCAATACACGTATTCTGTATGAATCTAACAAAAGAAAAAAGGGAAAGATGAAAACTTTATTGCACTTTGTTTTCGTCTGTAGCCTCATATCGTTGAATGGACCGGGCTTGTTAGTGTCCATTGTCATGTAGACTTTTATTTGGATACATTAGTAATGTATTTATGGTTTTTTGGGGATTAAGAGATTTTCCAAGTTGGTATTCTTCATGAACTGACATCATTTGGAAGAATATTGGAAACCCTGGGAGCTTTGGACAGCTGTTTACTCCTAGTATGTGACTGTTCAACAGTGCACACTCATGACCCCACCCCACACCCTGGGATCGAACCCGCTACCTTCAAATTTCGTGGCCAACACGTCACCATTGAGCCACTAGGTGGGAATCCTAATAGTTTGATAATAATGATGAATATGAATTAACAGTGGGATCCAGGATGTGCGCTGCATCCCATTTTAAATTTGCATCCTGGATTACACTGGTAGCCATCATGAATCATTACTTTGTCACATTTCCTTAAGACAACAATATGAATTCACTAGTCATTGTAAAGGAAAGTGATTAAGGGGTATCTTTTATAGTTAGTAAGACTTTGCCAGTGAAAGTAACCATTCTAACTGAGTACAAATCAAGCTTACAGAATAACGTATCACTAGATTTTCTAAAATTCAGGAGTAAGAGATACCGAGTCTTATCAGTTAGATTACTTTAGTTTCCTCAAGTCACCTCAATAAAATGGTAGGGTACAAAATAAATTCCCTCCTAACTCATTACATCAGACTGCACCCTTTAAAACTGTTTTAACCATTCAAATAGTCCTCAAATCATGTCATTTACTCTCAAGGCATTTTTTCGAACTTACTGTTTTGCAAGTTACCAAGAAACTTACGAAAAAAACATCATGGATATATACCCTTGAATATTAAAAGCATATCATAATAACTACCTCTGAAATCGTTATCTGGAACCTCAGATTTTCATGTTGACTGGATGAACCATAACCATGAAATTTATCTAGTCAACATTTTCGTGGGAAAGTGCAAGTAGAAAACACGTGGGGCTAAACAAAATCACAAAACAAAACTCGGGGCAATGTCACAAAACCCCGAGTTCTATCACATATTTTACCCCAGGCTTTCTATGTCATTTTTCCTCGTGGGCCTTTCTTTTCACCCCACGAAAATGTTGACTGGATGACACATCTTTCCGTCATTCACCCTCTTCAGACTAGAGGATAAAGTGGCAAAAGTTGGTCATCCCATCTTATTGCTTATAAAGATGTTATTATTAACATTACTGAGAAGCTATAATTATTTCATTTGAAAAATATTGTACAGAGGGTAAGTTTTTCGAAACAATACATTCTGAGAACTCAAGACTTGAATAAATTCATCACTTCCTTGTCACAAGAATCACTAAAGGTAGATAAGTTAGGCTTCCCATTGACCAACTTTAGATATTTACCGTCAGAAGAGAGGTAATACAAATTTTTCCTGTTTTATTGATAAATTACAATTTTTTCTGTTCATGAATAGCAGTGATTCAGCTAAAACATTAACTCTCTAACATGTCGATGACTAAGGTTTCATATAATTTTGGTGATTCTAAGTAATTACTGCAACGTATTGTTATTTGTATTATCCCATTGTTGAGTGGACTGAATTGATCGGTCTCTATTGGCATATGGACTAGCGCATGATTATCTCGATGTTGTCTGTGCTTCAATTACATGCAGTAATGGCGGACAATCCAGGATGCGCATCTCACCCTGCTTGGGACTCGTCAGCTGGATATACCTACCTCCCAGTGAGTGATGTTTGTCCCCACCAAGACTCGAACTCGGAACAGATGACTTCAAATGCCAGAGCGTTATCCACTAGACCATCCAGCCGGGACAGCAAGCAGCAACACTAAACCTATACCAGTCGCACAATAAGTGGTTATCATGTCTCGGTGGTCTAGTGGATAACACTGGCGTTTGAAGCGACTGGACCATAGTTCTAGTCCCAGTGGGAGCAGCATCATTCACTAAGGGTAGGTACGTCCAGTTGACGAGTACGAAGTAGGATAGAATGCGCATCCTGGATTGGACTGCTAGCCACTATCCATCATTAATAATTGATAAGGTTTAAATGAGTATTGCATCATCACCATGGCAATCACGACCACATGCTAGACTTTAATTTATATCATTCTTGTAGGTTTGGAAAACATGGGGTTTTCAGTCAAGAATACATTGTTGTTCTTTAAAAGTTCAACTGACTGCTTCTGTATTCAATTACTCTACATTTTTATAGCTGTACACTTGTAAATATATTATAAAATGAGAGAATGTTCCAGATAGTTTCTGAATAAAGGTCAAAGTAAATCGATAGACCTACATAGGGTTGGGCACTGAACCTGCATATTGTGTTCTCATGTTAACAGCTGATTCATCAGTACATGAAAGACAAGTTGACGCATTGGACCCCATTAATGTTAACTCACGAGTTCATTTGCTCCTGTACAGCTGAGCCGTACTATGCGCTTGCTTGAAAAGCGAACTTGAGAACGTTACCTAGCCTATTTTTTGAAGAGTGAGTACAAAGCCAAAGACTCTTGACATCTGGCTCCATTGAAAATGTTATTCTAAATTCTCTACAAAGTTTAACCAAATCGTTCAGTAGGTATGAGAATTAATCACTTATGTACAGCCAAAGCTTTGACAAGTTTCAAAGTTTCAGATTTCATTTGTGGGTGCAAACAAACATATAGTAAATTTTACTATTGACTGCATTTTATGTAAACTATTGAGATCATCCTTTGTGTTACGTAATATCTTTTCATTTCCCTACATACATCTATCGATTAAGCTTGAACTTTGAGTGGAAACTTGTATGAAACATTCTGTCATTTTGTAGTAATGATGGATAGTGGCTAGCAGTAGAATCCAGGACGATCATTTCATCCTATATGGGACTCGTCAGCTGGATGTACCTACACCCCAGTGAGTGATGGTGTTCCCATCGAGATTCGAACTCCGAACTGATTAATTCAAACGCCAAGCCACGATAGTCACTTCTTATGCAACGGCTATAGTTTTAGTGTTATGGCTTGTATTATATCATCGTTGATTAGACCGAATTGACCGGTCTATGTTGGTATATGGGCCTCTGCACGGATGCCTCGATATTGCCTGTGTTTTTAATTATATAGTAATGATAGTTATAATTAAATTGAATAGTTGGCTGATTAAAAACACAGGCAATATCCAGGCATCTACGCAACAGCCTATATGCCAATAGAGACCGATCAATTTGATCCAATCAACAACAATCTAATACAAGTAATAACACTATTCTGTCATTGTATTTATATATTTACAAATGTACAGTTGAGAAAATAAGTCATCAATAATCAGATGTGAATCTTTCGCTAGCCTACACCTATCAACAGAGACAACTCTTAAAGGTAAGCAGATATATTCGAAAAATGAAAATAGCTACTTACTTAATCCTTTACAAGCAGCATACAATTGTTCTGCATCATTTTCAGTACTTATACGCTCTGGAAATGTGATACTTGGCCCACTTTGATGACTTATCCTGAAAAAATATATCGTTTAAATGTTTTTAAATGATAAATAAAAGAGATCGATTATAAATTCTTGAAAATTTTAGAATTTTTCATCTACTTTTAGGATATTATGATTCATATAACTTATTTGATAAAGTTTGAATAGCTCTAAGAAGCAGAGATTCGATTTGTTTGATAACTTGTAACACAATCATCGAGTTTAATTATGATAAAAGCCAAGTTTGAATCAGTAACAACACGTATGATGTAACATCATGTGAAACAAGGAAGCCTTTATTTTCTATTATCATTTGAAATGAACCACTGATGGAAATCCAGAGATATGTAACCTCAGGTTGACTAGATTTTCTACTGATTACCTAAAAAGTGTCTTTATAATGTGGTAAATTAATTTTCAGATGAGATTTTCAGTCAATGAGACAAATATTCTGAAAAATTGGTTTGTAAATAAAGGTCTGAAGGCCTATGGTTCATGTAAGTGACTAGCGGTTAATTTTTTACTGGTTAAAAGAACATATCTACACATTATGAAGCAATTCTGTTATATGAGACTCGGTTTATCAAGTCATCTCTTATCAGAGTTACCAAACACTAAATATGGAAACGAGAGGCTGACAGCTTTATGATTAGTTTATGCTGGGTGATGACTGAAGGTGAGATGGAAATCTAAACTGAGGTCGGATTCAAACAAGCAACCACTGGGTTACCGGTCTAATGCTCTACCAACTGAACTACAACGTCTGACTGTCGACCAGATTTTTATTTCACTTCAATCAAAAGGTAGGGTTTTGCACAACTACCATGAGAATTCTTAACGCTTTACTGCTACCTGATCGTATTCACACTGGTTGCCTAATCACGACTTTTCATCCCAGTCGGAATCTAACTGAATTAACGAGGAGAGGAGTATGATATTGACAGACTAGTATTTGTGCTATGTGATGATAGAAGGTTAAATGAAGATTTGGACCGCGGTTGGATTCGAACCGGTGACAACCAGATTTTCTGTTTGGTGCATCAGTAACGCTTGACGAGTTCACATTGTAGTCGGCCAAAACCCTCGTCTTTTGATTGCAGTGAAATAAAAATCTGGTCAGCATTCGGACATCATATCTCATTTGTTTGAGCATCGGGCGGGAAATCCAGTGGTTGCGATCTGACTGCGGTCTACATCTTCATTTCACCTTCAATCATCACCCAGTCTAAATAATAGTCCGCCAGACTACGGTTATCTCAGATAATCGGCCCAATCGACGACGGTATAATACAAGTCATAACACTGAAACTATATCCATCGCACAAGAAGTTGGCATCATCGCTTGGTGGTCTAATGGATAACGCTCTGGCATTTGAAGTGATCGGTTCCGAGTCCGAATCTCAGTGGGAAGACCATCATTCACTGTGGGGTAGGTACATCCAGTTGACGAGTCCCATATGGGATGAAATGGGCATCCTGGATTCTACTGCTAACCTATTACTGTTTAATTAGACTTTGATTTTTCTATCTTTTACTCTTAGACTGTGGTGGTTTGAACTTACATACTGTATTGCTTGTGCTTTTCAACAAAAATTTAACTGTGATACCTGACATTGATGTGACTAGTTGAAATTAAGTATTGAAGCGCTAATGGTGGGTATACGTTTACAAATATAATAGTTGAAGTTTCTTAGACTCTAAGCCATGAATTCATAGTTAATCACTGATGTTCTAAATCTGTTTCAGAGACATTTTGTCGGTTGCAGGCTATAGATCTACAGAGAAGATGATTTCATCGATTGGAACTGAAAGTGTCATATTTCAGTCGATGAACATCTTGTTTTTATTCCCATTCTACACCCGGAGATGGATGAATACTCATCACGAATATCTATAGCTCGATAAATTGTTTCCTCAGCAGTATGGGGAGCATATTTTGAAGTGAAAAGTTTAGCGCCATGAAAATCGAAAGTTTCCGTCATTGATTAGACCGAAATGTTCTGTTACTAGTGACATACGGATTCGTTTGTGGATGCCTTGATACCACCGGGATTTTTAGCTAATATATTAGTGATGGAGAGCGATTAGGACTAGGATCTAGGATGAAATATTTATCCTATTCAGGACTCATTGGCTGGATGTACTTGTCTCTTAGTGAGTAATTTTGTTCCCATTAGGACTCGTACTCTGGGCCTATCACTTCAAACATCAGAGCGTGATCCACTAAGTCAGTGAATTTAAAAAACCATTTCTCGTGCGACGAGATGTCACGGCTTGCAAATCTTTCTTGTTGATTGAATCGTTCACTTGGAGGCAAGTGCACCTTGCTGATAGGTTCTTAATAGGATGATACATGCATCCTGCATTCCACTGTTAGACACTATCCATTATAAACATATAAGTTATGGTTATCTTATACTACGGAGTACTCAAAATCGATCTGAATGTTGCAGTATCCTGCTCATTAATCAGTTATCTAGAAATCTTAGTTTTGAACACAAAGTATTGAATTCTATCCTACATCTTAGTAGATATAAATAGTTGTCTATCATTTCTCGTTTCGACAGTAGACGCTGAATTTATTGCCTAATGGGGTGGTTAAGAAAGTAGACTTTATGATTTTATTTAACAGAAAGTTATATTGTGGTATGTCACCAATCTGTGGTGGGTTCCCTTCCTTTTTCCATACATATCTTTAAAAGGGTTATTTCATTCATTTTTCCTGCTAACGTGGAAAGAAATTCCATCACTTGGTCACCTACTTTGAAAACATGTTTCCTAACAACCCTATAGACCTAGATTTCAGATATGCTGACACTCATCAGTAAGACATGTCAGCAATCATGAGAAAACTAATGCTCTCCTAGTGACTTAAGCCTGCGTCACTCAAGGCTAAGACCACATGCTTTACCTCCAAACAATTCAAGCTACAACTGATGGCCTGTAGGATTGTTTTGTGTACAGTCATGAATTTAGGAACTCCTGCTGATCACTGGATGAAGGTCGCGCTATGTCGTGATTTTAAAGGAGTACGAAAATGTAGAACATTGGTTCTCAACCCAGTGACTGAACGTAAACCTGCTCACTATGGAACTTCAAAATCCTAAGTGTGCGCAGATGAGGAGACTTAAAACAGGATAAAATAGCCACCTAATGCTCACAGTTTCCAAAAGTTCTCCAACGGATTTCAGCTTGTGATGAATTCTAACTTGTATATTACAATTGCAATCCTTATTCTTCTTACAACGGTCTAAAGCACTAGTTCAAGTGAATACTAAGTATGCGTAATTTATTCATAATTCAATTCCGAAAATAGCATAGTTGCTTTGACTTCCACTCAGAATATGCCGCTCATAGTCAAGTACATAAATATCCATTCCCTCGTTAAAATTGAAGTATTCACTTCAGTTTCATTGATTAGAGTCAGGCAAGTGATGCTTCTTAGAGATTATAAAAGAACCTAAAATTTAGTTGAGGGGATACTACTACTCACACTACTATTAATGTATACAACATATCTCTGTATAGATAAGTAGTTTTGGCAAACAATAGTATACGGTAGTTCAGTTGGTGGAACATTGAACCGGTAACCCAGTGCTCGCTGGTTCGAATCCGGCCGCAATCCAGATTATCATCTCACCTTCAATCATCATCTAGTATAAATACTAGTCTGAGAAACTACAGCTATCTCAGATAGCTAAGATGATAATCAATATGATACTTTCATCCTCTGATTCAGTTAGATTCCGACTGGGATGAGAAGTCCTGATGAGGCAAACAGTGTGAATACGATCAGGTAGCAGTAAAGCGTTAAGAATTCTCATGGTAGTTGTGCAAAACCCTACCTTTTGATTGAAGTGAAATAAAAATCTGGTCGACAGTCAGACGTTGTAGTTCAGTTGGTAGAGCATTAGACCGGTAACCCAGTGGTTGCTTGTTTGAATCCGACCTCAGTTTAGATTTCCATCTCACCTACAATCATCACTCAGTACAAATAGCTCTTTATTTCCTCAAAAATGTATAAATATAAAAGATTTGCTTACTTACTTACTTCATTTCTATTGTAAAATTTCGGCTGAGTACTTCAGCAGAGTTTAAGTGTTTAGCTGATTTTTGACCCATTAAATAGAGTAGCTCTGTTGACTTAATGCACTACTATTTATTGAGAAGTAGCTAATGCACATATCGAAAACTGTGTGTAAGTGTATGAGAATTAAGATATATACTGAACTACAATGAACTTGAACTAAGGTACATGGCTGGAAATTCTTAGTTTCATTCATTTACAAGAATGTGCAGTAACGAATTACTCTTTTATATACAACAAATGTCAATTTCTCACAAAAAACAAAGCATTTTAGTGTATCATTTTCATACTGTGGCATATTTGAAACAAAGTAATATTTCGGTTAAAGTAACACTTGTAATCTGGTCCACTAATGTGTTATTTTTTATTCCGTGTTATGACTCAGAAATATCTTTTTAATTTCTGTTTTTTGCTGATATCGTAGACTTTGTTTAGGTAAAAAAAACGCACTTTTGTTATATACTCCAAATTTTGCAGAACTTTAGCCTGCTGTTTTTCCCATAACCTTGAAATAACCTACATGGGTATTTTCATATTGTCAATAGTTCTTCTCCCCTTTATCCGCAAGGCTTAACTCTCATTGGCTGTTAGCTATTTTTATCTAAATGTGGATTTAACGTTATCAGGGTCATTTAGAAGTGAATATATTCAACATCGCAGTTGGAGAACCATTAGACACATGAGAACACTAGACAGTTGCTTCGTCCTACCATAGGACTCCTCGGTAATGCAAGTCCACGAACCGCCACAGGTTCAGGTTCCCTAGCCAGCATGTTAACATTCAGTCACTGGATTGAAGTTCAATGGCTCATAGCTTCCTACTTCTACCAGTTCATGATATAATATGAATATCACTCAAGGACATTAGTTGGCACCATTTCGCTACCAATTACTTGACCATAAAAGTCACAGCTTCGCATTAGAACTTTGAAATATCCATCTCGAAGCATATCATTAATGGGCATTATACAGTAACAGATTACTATGATGTGACAATTATGCTATATATTCCCCTACTTTTGCATAGCTTTTGCCTATTGTTTTGACCATGACTCTGAAGTAACCTATATGGCTGTTTTCATATCGTTAATGGTTTTCTGACCCTTTGCCCACAAGGCTCAACTCTCATTCGTTGTTAGCTATTTTCATCTACATACGGATTTAGTGTAGTCAAGATCATTTAGAAGTGTATGCATTGAGCATGGCTGTCAACTGCATGAACTGTTGTTGAGACAGTGGAGACAGTGTGTGTCAACGGTCTGTCTTTTCTTCTTGTCTTCGTGTGTTGGTGTTGTTGTTGTGGTGGTTGACGTTCTGATTTGCGTTAGAGTTTTTTCGTTTGTACATTCAGTTCGTATCGTTCGTAGTCTGTTAGGCTCATATCGCTGGTAGACTATTAGGTCACACCAATGGTCATAGCAACTTTGTTTATATTGAAGTATGCATATATCTTTCAATTTTTCGTATTTAGTTTCCACACAAACTGTATATTCAAAAGCTGATATCATCCATACGATCATTGTAACTGAGTTCATCTGTTCTCGCCTATTATTTTGCTGTTTGTGCATTCAGTCATGTAACAATTATGTACTTAAACCAAAGGTGTTTGAGTTTCACATGGAGTGGAGCGGTGCTGTGACAAGAGTGGTTACCCGTAGATCTATGTAGCTTACACTGAAATTAACAACTCGTTAGAAATTTGACAGACCTGTCTCAAAGTACATTACTCATATGTATTGAACCATTACTGATTTAAGCGATATACGGGGAATAATTATCAAGTTGAACTGATATCAGCTGTACAAGTAGTAAATAGTTGATATCAAAGAAACAGTTGTGAGCTAGAAAACGGATTCCTATCAATTACAATGAATGGTTGTTTTTGGATTAAATGAATTGCATGCAGTTTAAAAGCTTTTTATACCAAGACTACCTGCTTATAGGATAGGGTAATGTATGCATACTGATTATATAATGCTTCATACTATATTTGTCATGTCCTTCGCGTTGAGTGAAATATGTAGATTAAGGTACTGACGACTAAGGGATAAAACTTAGTGATACATTGTGTTTCCTTTTTGGAAGTGAAGTATCGGTTCATAGGTAGTTCATGTTACTTGTTTCCTGCTTACTAGTACTCATCAGTAGGACATACATCTGCATCTTCGAATAAATTAACACATATGTATCAAGTATAGTATGAGATATGGCAGTCAACCCTCTACCTTAACTTCATCGACTTTGAAAAGGCATTCGACAGCGTCGACTGAGAAGTAATTTGGCAAGCAGGTGCTTCAACACTACACAATACCACAAACCTTTATCAATCTCATTCAGCAACTATATGAAGACGCCACATGCCAAGTAATTCACAATGGGAAAATCAGCTCAGTGATGCTTTTGAATTCGAGACAGGAGTGAAACAAGGCTGTCTACTATCACCCATGATATTCCTGATTGTAGTGGACTGGATAATGCAACAAACTGTGAGGAACGAGAAGAGGGGGATACGCTTGACCGAGGAGAAGATCCTAGAAGATTTGGATTTCGCTGATGACTTATGTCTAATGTCACACAAACTTGAAGATCTACAGGCAAAAACCAACAAGTTGACAGAAGAGGCTACGTGTGAAAGCGAAGACAGGACTTCCTTCAAGTGAACGTAGAGAAGACGGAGATGATGAAGATACCCAGCCAACACCACCACCAAAAACAAGCTCCAATCACCATGAACGGCGGAACCTTAAAGGAAGTAGTCTCTTTCATCTATCTGGGCAGCACAGGCACCAAAGAGGACGTCAAAGCCATTCAGGATCGGAAAAGCAAGACAGGCTTTCATTAACCTGAAACCAGTGTGGAGATCTTCGGCACTCAGCATGTGAAACAAGATTCGGATTTTCAACACCAATGTCAAGTCAGTGCTTCTGTATGGCTCAGAGACTTGGCGCGTTACGAAAAGCATTTCCAACAAATTACAGACATTCATCAGCAACACTGGCTCGTTACTGAAGCTCAGATGGCCAGGAAGAATAAACAACAAGGAACTCTGGCTGGCTGGCGACGAACCAACTAAGGACTTATCGCTCAACAAATATTCAGAAGGAAGTGGAGATGGATTGGGCATGCATTGAGAAGACGATTTATGGACTTCACATGTCAGGCCAGACACTCAAGTGGGATCCAAAAAGGAAATGACTAGTTGGTCGTCCGAGGTGAGGGTGATATGGAGGAGATCGTATGAGGAAGAAATGAGAGCTTGTGGGCTGTAGTGGAACTAGATTCAAAAGTTTGCAGAGAACAGAGTGCAGTGGAGACGTGCTACTGAAGCCCTATGTTCGATTAGAAACCCAACGGACAAATAGTAACAATATTAGCATGAGATATATACGGTGATAAAGTCAAAAACTGTTGTGTTATCCGTCTTCCCTAGCCCAACTGGAGTAATACCCATCTTTAATAGAAATAATCTTTAAAGTATCAATGTTACCCTATACACAGAATAAAAAATTCCTCTTCTTTTGAAACTCGTTAGCAGTACACACCGTGAACCTTTATCGGACCGAATTCCAGATTGTCAGATCTTATGTTGATAACATTAATATTCAGCCATATGGTTGATAGCACAGGTGGTTCATTGGGTGATAACAGACTGTGGTGAATAACTCTTCTGAAAGGAATCACTTTCTCATTAACCTCCTACATTGGTAGTAATCGAGTACCAGGTAACGAATTGCTTTGAGATGAACTTTACAAAGTTGTAGTGATTAGCTGTGACCTATATGTCAATCAACTTTGATGTGTGAACCAACACTCATCGGTGACACAGAACCGTGATCACACCGTATCACAAAGTAATACACACTGTAGAAAGTGAAGTTGGATTTAAACTCATTTGTTGAGCGGCAACATGTATGAAGTGCGACCTCACGGTTCGTCCTGCATAAAGTCGTGATTTCATACTTCAAAGGAGTTGCAAGATAAGACTGAACAGCTCTGTTCTTATGACAGGACACCTTCCTACAGCCTCCCAGCATCCTACTGGATAGTAAACATTGCGAACTAGATTCAGCGTACGAAATCAATGGTTTATTTGTTGCTTATCTATCTACGAAGACATGAATATTTTCTTTGGATAGAAAGGCAGAAATCTTTCTGAAGAGCAAAGCTATGTAGAACTGGGCATAAAATGTACTTTCTTTCCAGCTTAGTGAATGTAATACAATGATTGTTGACAAATTTCAATGAGACGGAAGTTGAAAAAAATACTGATACGAGGAATTAATTTTCCATTTCACTATGAAACAACTGTCAAAATCTTTAAGTAGAACACATTTCACCGCCAACCTTAGAATTATTTTCTCCTGCAAGAAACGTTTTGGCCAATGTGTGAAAAACAAGCCGGCGCATTGGGCCACGTCAGTGTATATATACCAGTTTACTTGATCTGGTGGAGCTAAGTACATTGACCATGCAATGCATCCGCTTTTAAAACATGTCCGCAAACACTATCCAGTCTGGGTGGGAAAGGAAGAACTGAGATATATCTTCAGTTCAACAACAGAACACCTCGTGAACTCAGACCACTTAGCTCCTTTTGACAGCTCATTCAAAACTCTCTACAGAGTTCGATTAAACCACTGGAAATGAGTAAGATCGAGGCATTTGTCTATAGCTGAAACACTACCAGTCCAGAAGTTCAAACCGGCGTTATGCGTCCAAGAAAGGTACATCCAACCTCTATCTTTGCTACGGCCATCACAAAGCCTTGACTGTCATAGATTAATCTTGTAATAGGTAACTGTATATAACCCTTTGTCTATTTTCCCACTCTAAACCCAAATGTTCGTTGACTAACTTCCTTTAGTTACTCAATATATTTTGCCCCCCTAACCGAAAATAATTCTGAAACGTTCTGTACACTGTAACATATATATTCACGAATGTACAGCTTAGTAAATGACTTCGTCGAAAAGAAATTTTTTTATTCACTGCAACCACCTCTTGTCTTTTCCTATGAAAAAATTGGTGTATTCCACTATGAAAATCTTATTGAAAATAGCAAGTACTAGATAACTTCTTCATTTTAGTCTGAGAATCTAAAGTCACTGCATGAAAGTGTCTGCTTCAGTAGAAGTAATCAATGTTTTTCATCATTCGACCTCTAGATCAAAACTATTTCTGTGGCCATTAATGAATAATTTGGCGATAGAGATTTCTGAAGTACTTATCAGCATCAAACACAATTACTCTTCAATGTTCTCTAATTTTCTATTCCATCTAGGTTTACTATCCCTTTCATACTTCTAAATCAAGGTCAATCTATCTTCTCTAATCTACTTTTGACAGTTCGCTAACATGTGTCTCTTTTCTATTTACAAGCATTTTCAAAGTTCAGTTTTTTTCATGAACAGTAATTTATAACAAACACACTTGTAATGAAAATAGAGAATATCATCATCACCATCATCATTATCATCAAAATTTTGGAACTTACAGATTAACCCTTTATTTCGAAGAGAAAATCACATTGAATAAGTAACATCGTTAAGAGTGAATGGTGGTTATCTTACAAAACATTGAAAAAAAGGGAATACCTACCTGTAAATTATTCATGAACAGGAGCCAGATGTCTTGAAGAATACGCATTATATATATATATATATATATATATATATATATATATATATATATATATATATCAGAACGTAGAGAAGACAAATGTGATGTCTCTTTCATCTACCTAAGCAAGGCAGCATTGTTTCAACTACGGGAGGCTGCACAGATGAGGATTTCAAAGCCAGGATCGGAAAGACGGCAAGATAGGCCATCATTAATCTGAAGTAATCAGTGTGAAGATCTATTACTCTGCACCGCACTGCACTCTGAATGAAGAACTAGATCCGGATTTCTAACACTAAGTCAGTCAAGTAAATGCTTCTATGTGGTGATTGAAGGACTTGGTGCGTTACGAAAAGCATTTCCAACAAACTACAGACATTCTACACCATCTACGCTCACTCGATACTGAAGATGGCAATCAGGTGACCAGAATAATAAGAATTAGCAACAAATAACTCTGGGAATCAAACAACCAACCAACGAGGAGCCAAGTTGAGAAGACTGGAGAGAAGAAAAGGAAATGGCGTCGTGGTAGTGAAGCCCTGTGTTCCACTAGAAACCCAAGAGACGAATAATAATATAATAATAATGCCCTGTGTGTGTGTGGCTGTGTTTATGTTTATATGTTCACAGTGTATACAAAGAACATTCTATAGGAAAGTGAGTATATTGACTAAATGCTTTCTTGACGTTTACGCCTTTCGTTGGGCAGATCAATAGATCTCGGTTTGAACTGTATTCCACATTCAAAGCTGTGGGAACCTAAACAGTACAGTTAGCTATCATTCATTAGGTGTTGCTCATTAATTAAATCACGAATGCGCACGCGGTTACTTTGTGTATTTCGCTTCTTCTTCTTCTTTTTCCAACAGCACACTTGAGCACTTATTCAGTGTAATGCTTAGTTTAAGATAGTAGTTTTCGGTGTATGGTCTAATGTAGTTATTGATTGCTATACGGAAGTATGTAAGCCAACTCTGCCTAAGTCGACTGATAACCAGAGTGGGTCAGTCTTTCTTCATGGTGTACATTATTGTTTGGGTAATCAGGTTTCCTTATTCATTAAGCTTGTCAAATTCTTGAACGGTACATCAGGAACGTTGGTTAAGAAACAGCCTGAGTTGAACTAAAAATATATTGTTAAGATCTTTTATTTTAGCTATAAATGAATTTGTTCAGTGTGTTTATTATTGAAAAATTGGTCCTTTCCTATTGATACCGTATAGTACTGAAGTGGTTAGTATTTGTTGGCATACAGGTTACATTAAAATAGGTACGTATATAGTTTACGTTTAGTGTTGATGGGAAGATCAAGATTGTCAGAGATGTGTATCCACCTAGTTGATGAGTCTGTAATGGAAGGAAAGGTGTCACCATGAAACAAAAAACTCAAAGTGAGTTTAGATGGTGTATGTATAAACTCGTCAACTTGTCCTGCGTTTCACATGAAACAATTTGTCGACTACAAAACGATAAGCAGAGATTAGGTGTATAAAACGTTCTTATAATGCTTCTTGACAGCCTGTAGAACACGATCTCATAAAGTACATCGCTACTGAATTGTATAAAGTGACATCTATGCAACGTTTCTTTGCTTTAGCTGCCTAATATTTCACTGGATTTCTTTCTTACCATATAAATATGGAACTAAGAAAGTGTGTGCATTGATGTGCAGATTTGCTTCGTCAATATATGCTTCTGCAAAGAAAATCACCTCCTCATCTACTTAACAGAACATCAACGAAGTTTAACTTTTTGTCATGTTCATCTTTATAAATGAAAGCAAATGAAGGGTGTTTTTGTTGCTAAAATTCTTCATTAGTTCATTTTCATCCAAATTTGATCTATGATAACCACCGTGTCATCCATGTGTCGGTAATATATATCTAGCTTGTTGACAAAATCCCTCAGTGGTCCATTTTCTAGTTTAGTTAGATGAAAATTTGCAAGGTTTTGGCTTAATGGTGAGCTAGTTGCTAATCCATTCACTTGCTTATCGTATGTATTATTGAAAACAAAGTGTAAATTCAATTTACACCTCAGAAGTGGTTCTTTGAGGTTAGACTCAGGAGTTTTAAAGTTGATTTAACTGTGTATCACTTGTTGATATGTTAGATCGACTGGCTAAGTGAGCAATACACTAAAGAATACTGACAATACATCTGGCAATGTTAGACGTTTTTCACTTAGAACCACCTTTGTCCTTTTGGGGATAAAATCAAACACATCCTATACACTATGTTTAACTACTAGTTTGTGGAGGGTTTCTAAGATCTTAACCAATCATTTTTTGATAATTTTGTTACATAGAAAGTCTAAAATGACTTTTTTTTTCTGAAGAAGTTTACTGAAAAACATAAAGGAGATAAAGGAGTTAACTAAGAAATTCTATTACATCTATTCAAGTGTATTTCTGCAACAACAACATCCCAAATCTATGATAATTAGAGGCAGTCATGCCATATCAATAACCCTATAGAACAGTTTATTCTGTGAACTACTGATAGATTTGACCTTGAAAAGGTGAAAATGCTAATCGTCCATGAATTTAGGTAATTTTGTACTACTTGTACTATGTAATTCAGTAGTTTGTGGAAAAGGTAAATATCATAATATTAGTCCATTTTTACTGAAGTTAATGCATGTTCTTTTAATTAGTAAATTTAGACCTTAGTACTATTTTTAATGAAGACTTTTGTGTTCAGATGATGATATGATAAAATTAGCGAAAAGCCAGTAAATGTTAGTAATTGGTTTATATGATCTTCAGTATACCACATCATAAGCTATTACCTCCTATGTACACATTTATCATGGTAAATATTTTCATGTTTGTTGCTGAGGGAATGTTACATTTTTGTGGATCCAAGCCAGCGACTGAATGGTAATGTATTTATCACAAGATGTGAAAATTAATAATGTGAATGCTAGCAGTAAATAATCCTACAGTTTCTTTCTTATGTGTATACATGCTTTTATAAATCCAAATATGCATAAACTATTCTCAATGAAGTTGACAGAAGAGGCAGTGATACGCGACTTCAAGCGAATGTAGAGAAGATAGAGGTGATGAAGATATCCGACCAACAACAGCATCAACAACAAGCTCCAATCAACATTAACGGGAGAAACCTAAACGAAGCAGTCTCTTTCACCTACTTACCTGCCTGGGTAGCATCGTTTCAACTACAGATGGCATAAGCACAGACAAGGATGTCAAAACCAGGATCGGAAAGACAGAAAGACAGGGTTTCACTAATCTGAGATTAGTGAGGAGCTCTGCTGCAATCAGCACAGAAAGTGAACATGATCCAGATTCTCAACACTAATTCACTCTAGTCTGTCACTCCTACTATATTGGTTCACAAACTTCACATGACATTTCTAACAAACTACAGACATTCATCAACAACTGACACCTACATTCACTCGATACTGAAGATGGCGATCACATGACCAGAATAATGAGAATAAACAATAAGGAACTCTGGCCTACCAACGAACTAACCAAGAAGCTTTTACCCAGAAAATATGCAGTAGAAGAAAGTGTGAGTGGAGATGGTTTGAGCATACATTGAGAAGTCGAATTAGGGACATCGTGTGTCAGGCCAGACCAGTCCCTGTAGTGGAATGCAAAGAGGAAACGATGAGTTGTGTGTCCGATGTGAGGATGAGATGGAGGAGATGATGATAGGAAGAAATGAGAGTTTGTGGGCAGTTGTGGTGTGGGGTTAAAAGAGAAGATTGGAGATAAGAGAGTGAAATGGAGTTGTGCTATTGAAGCTGTATGTTCCACGAGGAACCCAAGGGGAAAGGTAATAAAATAATAAATCACAATGAAATGCTACAACAAAGCTTTCCGTCAATTTAATAACTTTATTGTTAATAATTTTACAAAAAATAATAACCTAATTAAATAGTCAGATTATCTACCACACAGTTAGTACTTCTTACTTGAGTAAATTAAAGCAGAACATTTTTAAATACCAATTAAAATATGCTATTTTGTGCTCAATGTTTCAATTATAATAAAATCTTAATAAAATTATGATCTCATTTAGTTTCATTGATTGTGCATACCATGAATACATATATAGGTAAAATAATTTGATTTTATAATAAAACAAGTAATTATTCTTCTTTCAAAGAGATCAAACGTTTTGGATAGGTTAAGTGATTACGTAGGGCTAGAATAAATGTTGGAAGTATGTTTTTCTCCCTTTTTTCGAGTACTTTAGTGGGTTTATTTACTGATTAATAATTGACTAATTTAGTTCATTTCAGTTTTGTACATTGAATATATGAGTGCTTAGTAGATGTTATAATTCCTTCGGTAATGATCTTTAACTAAATCCAAGATTCATATTTTGTTCTGTCTAGAATTCATTAGCTGGATCTAACTGCAACCTATTGAGTGATGGTATTCTCAGCAGGGCTTCAATCGCCAGAGTCTTGACAGTCACTTCTTGTACGGTAGTTAATTATCTGTTATTATTTATATATACTTCTGTCTACTATCACCCATGATCTTCCTGATTGTGGTTGACGGATCATGCAGCAAACAGTGAGAAGCGAGAAGAGGGAGATACGCTGGCTGGACAGGGGAAAAGACTCCAGAAAAAGATTTGGATTTCACCGGTGACCTGTGTTGAATCTCATACAAACTCGAAGGTCTACAGGTGAAAACTGACAAGTTGACAGAAGAGGTAAGGCAGCGAAGACGGAACTCCAAGTGGACATAGAGAAGACAGAGGTGACCCAACCAACGCCACCACCAGCAACAACAAGCTCCAGTCACCATGAATAGGAGAAACTTAAAGAAAGTAGTCTTTTTCCCCTGTCTAGGTAGCAATGTTTCAACTACAGGTGGCACAGACACAGAAG